TAATATAAATAGTAAGGTTTACTGTAACCAAAATTAAAATAACTACATGTTGCCAATCCATTGAATTTTTCTTCATTTAAGTTTAAATGAAAGAATGATTACAAAGTTTAAGCAACAAATCATTTCTCCTCCTTAAATTACGCTTTAAAACTTTTTATAACATTTAGTAAATATTTTTATCCCATTTCCCTTCATTTATGTTCAAGAAGCAAAGGTCGAAAAGAAAATATTGAGCTGGTTATTATGCATCAATTAAACAACATGAACTAGACCTAAAATCCACCATCCACACTCTCCACCCTCCACAAGTATTTCAGGGCTTGCATACAGCTCTGCCTAATTCCATAAAACGATTAAAATCCTCTGCTTGTGGTCAAGTTAGGAAGGCTAAAATGACTGGTTAGTAATGAGGTGACAGGGGAAATCACATAACCTTTAATCCCTTTAAAATTAAATCAACATGTTTAATTCAGCACAAATATGACAAGTATCTACTACTTTAAACCTCCAGAACTACGGAGATCTTTTAGACCAACAACAACTGACATCAGGGTGAATGGAACACTTAATATTACCAGGAAAATAAGAATAAATACCGCTTTGCTCCTATATGTCTTGCCTGCTAATAAGCAAGACACATACAGTTACTTAGATGGACCAGACTAACCGGATACGCACTTTCACTTAAGTGCAAATATTTTTACAGATCCCCTATTGAAGGAAATGAATGCCATGCAAAATTGTTTGTTTAAAATTTAAAATTGTTTGTTTAAACATAAATCTCATTTTTCTTTGAAAATGCAATGGTCTGCAATTATATTTCTCAAGAATCACAACTGCCCTTTAGTCTTTAAAGGGAAATAAGAATAAACAAAACAGTGATCCCAACCCCCATCCCACTCAGATTTTAAATTTCTTGAAGCTCAATCTATTTAAAAAGCTTCCTTACTAAGGCACTCCTCGAGATGATTCAATCTTCATACCTGGAGCTGGACTTGGATCATCTCTATATCCCAAAAATGCTGTAAGTCTCAGTGTTAGCATAGGTAAAAACGAATAAAACATTACCAATCTCCAAGAGCTGAAGTGAGGTTCAAATGAGATGTGATAATGGAGACTTACACAGAGCCTGGCACATAGAAGGTACTTACTAAACTCAAATTCCTATTCCCCTTGAACGCCTTTACCTAGAACGAAAAGTTTTTCATTTTACATAAATGGAGATTTTTTTTAAAGAAATAAGTACCACCAACACACATTTGCAAGAAAAGGAACACTATTTGCAATTTTTTTTTTTTTGGCTGAATTCATCTTAATTATATCACCATAACTAAAAGTACCTAAAAAGTAGCCACTATGGAGGGGCGCCTGGGTGGCTTAGTCGGTTGGGTGTCATGACTCAGGTCATGATCTCGCGGTCACGATCTCGTGGTTCTTGGTTCGAGCCCTGCAAAGGGCCCTGTGGTGACAGCTCAGAGCCTGGAACCTGCTTTGGGTTCTGTGTCTCCCTCTCTCTCTTTACCCCTCCCCTGCTCATCCTATGTCTCTATCTCTCTCCCTCTATCTCTCAAAAATAAATAAACATAAAACAAAAAAAAAGTAGCCACTAAGGAAACTTGATATGAGAGTTTTGCAATCAATCTCCTAAGAACTTACCAAAGTGAAATCTTTGGGACACTCCTGAAAAAAATGAAGCAAGGCAAATATTCCTTCAACATAGGCACATTTGTAAAGTGAAAAACACCTTTCTTTTTTCTTCTTAACTGGAAGCAGTTTAAAAAAAAACACTTTAACAGTGGTTTAAAATAAAAACCTTAATTTTTTCTTTCATCACCCAACTTCCTTTGAATTATTTAGAAGCAAACCAGTGAGTGTTTTCTTCTTATGACTTACCTTAAAACACAATTAAACAGAATTTAAGAATCATTTGAAGGATAAGTACCATTTAAACTGACAAGAATGATTATAGGCATTTTATAGCAAAAACTGCATTAACTATAGTAACTGTCAGTGACATTACATCGCCCTCCAATGTAAATAAGAATGTCTCTGTTCTAGCAATGATGTTGGTTTGCACATCTGCTGACCTATTAGAATGTCCACTTTGATCACGTGCTTGTCCTTAGCTTCTCAGATTTAGTATTTATTACTGAGAATGGTAATCTTTAAATCTTATGGAATAGTCTGTCACATCCTCTACACAGCAAAAGCTCACGCTGCTGTTACAACATTAGAAACAGGAGATACCATTATTGAAAGGCAACTTGAAATCTTCTTAGCCCGACTCTTAATTTCTAAATATTAAGAAACAGATTTCATTCACAGAAAGAAAAAAAAACACAGAGGAACTGTTAAGAAATTTGCATACGGAGGTCACAGCAACATGGTGGAGGAAAACCACTCTGCCTCCCTAAATCTCATTTCAAGCCCTGATCTTCAACTATGTTTATGGGTTGGACAGAGACATTTATTCGGAAAGCTCCAGAAGGATATTTAGAGATGCAAACCTTAAGACAGTCCCTGTTCAGTGCCTCAACTTCGCCAGTTTCAAGTCTAGGTGCTTGAGAAGATGGGAGCACACAGCAACATAAATTAACTGAAAGGGAACCCAGTGCATAAACTGTAAGTTTAAGGTAGGTTTCTTTTTGTTTCCTATCTTTGCAATTTCTTCTTAATTCTTCAAACACACCCAGACAGGCAGTATTACAGAAAAGCATCAACCTGCTAAACTAACCTAAGTCAGGCAAGCATGGCTAACAGAAGACACAATTTGACAGATTTCCCAATCCAACTCCTGTGTACCTCAGATGTTTTCACATGGACCAAAGGTTCTCATTTCTATCCTCTTAAAGATGTACAGAATGAGTGAGAAATACTCATAACTTGTATGACAACAGAATTTTTTTTTTTACTAGGATGACTTGCTTAGGATTTCCATTAGAAAGTGGCATAAAAGTCAAACTATTTGGAGATTACCTTTATTTATTAAAGTGTGGTATAAAGAAAACTGTCCAGAAGAGGACAGTACAGATATTTTCCAAGTAGAAAAATATTGATTTTCATATAACATTAACTGGTCAGCCAGCCAGACAAGTTCCAACAAGTAACATCTTACCACCCCCAACTCAAAAAAAGAAAAAAGTAGTGGCTAGCTCCTGATATTAGTATAAATACAAAGAGAAAACCTAATTTGGAATTAAGTCAATGATATATTCAGGATATTTTCTTTCACACATAATAACATTTAAGAATCTAGGGTAGCTCAGTCGGTTAGGTGTCCAACATTGGCTCAGGTCATGATCTCGAAGTTCCTGGGTGCAAGCCCCCTGTGGGGCTCTGTGCTGACAGTTTAAGGCCTGGAGCCTGCTTTAGATTCTATGTCTCCCTTTCTCTCTCTTCCCCTCCCCCACTCATGCTCTGTGTGTGTGTGCCTCTCTGTCTCAAAAATAAATAAACATTAAAAAAAAAAGAAAAAGAACCTATTAGTTATGGCTCTGGTGGGGCCTTAGAACACATACCTTTTTTTTTTTTTTTTTTTAAATCTCACCAACAGAAAAAAAATAGATACTGAAACAAATCTGTTTCCTCAAAACCCTTTTGCTTCTCTTAATTTAAATTAAAAAATGTAGAACTTGAAACTTCAACTTATATTTCCAGGATCTACATCTACAAAATAGGAAATCAGTTTTTCAAAAAACCCTCACCATGTCCCCAAAAACCAAAGAGGATATTTTTTAAATTTAAGATTTATATGCGCTATAACAAGTTAAGCCAAATAAGTCTGTTAATGATTTATAGTGAAACCGAAGTGGGAAAAAAAAAAACCAAAAAACTCCTGGTTAATCTAGTTTGAACTCCTCTTAATTTTACACATTGTTTTATAAGCCCCAGGGGTTATGCAGGCATCTTATTCATCCCATCGCTAGCGCCTCCCACAGCCACTCTCTTGCCGGAGAAGCTGTTTGGTCTAACTTGCTGGGAAAATTCAGCTGCGAAACATTTTTATGCAACAGCGAAAACAATCGGCCTCTTTTTTTCAAGGTGGAGATCCAGAAGCGAATGACAACGTTTGAGACCATAAAATTAGTCTGCTCTAACTTTAATAACCAAATGGTGATTGAAAAAACTATATATAAATTTCGCATTTGCAGGAATGGGGGGGGGAGAGGGCAGGAGGTACTAAACCTAGAGGGGCTTTTGTCCTCCCCGAGTGCGAACACAGCAAAACTAATAAAATTATGACCCGGAATAAAAAGGTCACATTTATTTTCAAAGCATTCATTTAAAAGTACAGAGAAGCATTCTTTAAAAATGCCCACATGTTTAAACGTAGCAGGAATGTGGCTAGCAAATACTAATCCTGAGGGAAATGGATTCACATTTACCTTCATAATTAGACCCAGCAGGTCAAATGTTAGCAAGGTAAACGGACATAAACCACAAAAACAGATTGAAAACGGCCAACAGAAAGTTCCTGTCCTTTCCTGGGAGCCCCCGTTTCTTCCTTACACAACCAGCCATCAAACATGTGCAGGCAAAACAAAAAAAAAAAAACAAAAAAAAAAAAAAAAAAAAAAAAAAAAAAAAAAAAAAAACAGACCTACACGCACCAGCCGGGTAAGGGAGAAACCAAACTTTCCCAAATAAGTTAGTTCCGTCTTGCCAATCTAAATCCAACAGGTGTCAACCCACGTCACCACAGAAAATCCTTCCGAACAAAGTCTAGCGAAGCAACGGATGGTTCGCAATGAAAAGAGCCGACCTCTTTCAGGGTCGCGAAAGAAACAAAGCGAGGCCTCAGTACCGATTACAAGGAGGTGGGGGAGAAAGGGGGATGGAGATGGGGAGGCGCGTGCAGATGTCCTGCCCCCGACACCGCAGGGGAACCTAGGATCTCGGAGCACGGTTCCCGCGTTCTGTGGAGCCCTAGACCTCGAGGGTTGGAACAGGGAGTTCCACGGCGGGAGGGAGGGAGACAGAGGAAGAAGGGCGGATGGTACCTGCTTGTCCAGCGCGTCCCGGGCGCCGGCCGGCCCGACCCCGGCCCGGGGCGGCGCGGGCGTCCGCTCGCAGCTGCAGCCCTCCAGGAGATACATGCCCGCCGGGCGGCCGCTCTGCTCGCCCTCGAAGTAGAAGAGCACATTCTGGTAGAGAGCGAACCACTTCTCGTGCCAGCGACTCGCCTCGGCTGCCTTCTTGCTCAGGAAGCCGCGCTTGGTGCCCTCCTTTCGGGCCAGGAAGGCCAGGTACAGGGCGTGCCCCTCGTTGTAGCGCACGCTCTTCTGCATGGTGAGGGTGCGGGGGGCTCACCGCTGCCTCGAAGCCATCTCTCGGCCAACTCGCCCCAGGGCGCGCCCGCTCCGGTCCGGGCTGGCGAAGGGCGCCCCCTTGCCTGACGCCGAGCGCAGGGCACCCCGCCGCCCTTCGAGGCGTGGCGCCTCGCGGATCCGAGGGGCTCCCGGCTGCGGCCAGGGCACGTTCTCGGCCGCGACCGCCGCCCTCCTGGCCGAGCGAAGCCCGGGGAGCCCCCGACGCCCGCGCGGAAAAATGGCCCCGAGAGGGCGCCCGGACCCGTCTCCACTTCGCCCGAAGTTGCGGTAGCCGGAGCCCCGCGGCGGTCTGGGGCGCCGCGACGCGCGGCAGCCCGAGGAGGACTGTCCTCGGGCAACTGGCTCCGGGAAACAGAAGGTAAAACGTCACGTGGGAGATCAGCTGTAATCGGCTTGGAGACCGATTTAAAGGGCAAAGTCGGCGCGGCGGCGGTGACGGCAGCTCAGCCCGCTCGCCCAGGCGCGCGCAGTGCCTCCCTCGCCGGGCTGGCCGGCTGCTGCCTCTGTTTCCGCGCCGCGATGGGGCGGAAAGCCGGGAGGTACAGGCGCGCGGCGGCAGCACTCACCCGTTCACACGCGCGCCCGCACGCCCAGACGAATATATACACTCACATGCACACAACACACTGACACAACGTGCAGGTCGAAACACCACGCTCGCATTTTCACAATTACACCCTCACACGACGTTCACAGTCATACAAACAAGAATACACATACACACAAATACACAGTCGTAAACTCAGTCACACTCCTACACACACAATGCTTCCACAGAAAATTATGCAATCATATAAAAACAAATACAACCACAATGAGCACTTCACACAAAAATACAAACTTGCTTGTATGCAATTACACACTTACCCGGGCAACTACATACGTGCACACACTTATACACTCACCCAAACACGCATTTACCACACAAACCAACCATATACTTATATACACACTCGCCCAAACTCACACACAAAATGGACATATACACATATATACACTCAACATACACACACTCATAGCATTACACATAAATACACATGCGCAACTTATTTATACTCATACATTCACAGTAATACACACACAGATCATCATACACAAATACACACAGGGAGCAGACAAACTCAAACACATTCACTCAAAAAAACATACGCAAACATACTCATACACAAACACTCAGAAGCATACAAATATACATTCGTGCAAATTCACACTTTCACAAACCCATTCACTCAAACTCACAACTCACCTGCACATCCATACACTCACACTCAGCCATCCATGCATTTCCATAGCCGTAGGTGGAGTCACAGGGTGGCTTTACATAACGGACAACCTTGACGTTTCCTCTTGTACTTGCATTGTTGTATTTAAAACTGGAGGAGAAGGTTAATGAGGGCAACCCCCTGTTCCTAGATGCTGTTGGTCCCTTCTCAATGCATGTGGTTTCTCAGGATTAAGATGAAAGAAACTAAATTTTAAGCAGAGTTTTCAACCAGAAAAAAATACCCAAACAAGGGAGACTTGCTGAGCCCTGCCAGAATGTCTCCAGAAGTCATACTGTCTTAGATTCACTAGATACCCTAGCTAGGACTGGAATGCATTTGATTAACAAATCTCACAAGTACGACCAGACAACCGAGACCCCTATTATAAAATGTAAGTGGAAAAGAACGTGCCCAGCAGCTGCAGAAGAAAGCTAGTGAAAGCCCCAGGGAGTGCCAGTATTTGATTCTACTGTATATACTTTTTATTCCCATTAGTCACTTATCATAAAAATAGTTTGCCATGAAGTGTTTATTGTTAAAAAAATTTTTTAATAAAATAAAATCCTTTTCCGGACCATGAATCTGCAACAATACACCTGTCTTGTGCCACAAGTTGTGTGTTCATAAATTGATGGCCCAGGGGTTCTGCCTGTTCCATAAGTGCTGTTTTTGCAGAATATTTTAACTCTGCCTCACTGAGCAGCTGAGTGTTTTTTCCTAAAAACAAAAACAAAACACTTTCACTATTAAAAATTATACAATAGAGAAATTGCCATTTGAATTTACAGTGTGAGAGCAGTGGTCAATTTCTCTTTGCACATTTTTAAATGTCTTAGAGACAGTGCTGTGCTAATTTGGGTTTCACCCAGCTGGGAGCTTGCATTATTCTTTAGAGCAGATATAGTACAGAAACAATAAATAAACGTGGACATTTATTCTAGATGAGGAGGAGATAGCAATTGCCTCAGGAGGCCTTTTATTTCCTTCTCTGTGGTCCAGTCCCAGGTCTGAGAATCATGAATTGATACCTGTGTAGCTGATGGGCTCCATTGTTGAGTGGAAACCATTAGTGTGTGAACTCAGTACAAAAACAATTTTGCAATGAGTATTCAAACCTTCTAGCCACTTGTGGTTTTTCTCCAGATGTGAAACACTCTTTCCCTAATAAACAATGTCTCTGGTGTGGAGGCTAATTTCAGTACTAACTGATCTTTTCTTTCTACTCAAATGTCCTTTGGATTTGAACCACACGAAGTATTCACCTCAGCCTCTTGTCTGTCATCACTTCCTACCCTGTAAGATGTTGTAGCTGTCATGGCCCCCCTGACAGTGACAGAAGGGAGCTCTGGCTTCCTCTGAAATTTGGCTCCGTGATCTTTGTTGGTTTTAATTATGGAAATTCACTGTGAGAAAGATTGATTGATTAATCACCTGTTTATGTCCTCAAACTTAGGTGATGTAGAAGATACAGAGAAAAGACAGTGCTCTAGTCCTGGTGTGCTCAGTCCATTAGGAATAGGAATTAATGTTTAGATGTTTCTCACTTGCCTATCTGCTTCTTCAAGACAGGGCTATAATCCCAGAAGCACCCAGTAGGAGAGCTTATATGCACCTGGCACACAAGTCATTATTACAAAAAGTTATTACAGTAACTATTTCCTAAATTAATATACTATTTGGTCACTGAATTGTTAGAGGGCACACACATTTGCAAATATTAGATCATTTTGCAAGACTGAATGGAAACAACCAGAAATCCCAGGACAATCTAGAGAAGAAGTATCCTGTGGGGTCTGATGGGCATTGGTGGGCCTTTAGCCTCCTTCATTCATAAGGAAACTGCTTCCCTGGAATGGTGCCATCTTGAAACACAAAGGGTCAGGAGGTTATGTAAATGAGGATGCTTTTTCCCCAGCTGATCAAACAGGTTGGCTAAAGGGACTATGTTCCAAGTGGGTGGGAGCAAAGCTCTTCTGTGAATTCATTGTTTTTCCCTCTTGCATTTTATGGACTCTTTCCCCGAAAAGGTCAGTTTAAGTTGATTTTTGAGAGCAATAAAGCATTTCTCACTGATAACAGTGAAAGGGTCTTTTTTTTTTTTTTTGCCTTTTCTAGGCAAGGTATAAGAAAAAAATTAGCAATTAACTGCCATATCTGGAATAAGTTCCCTTCCTCTATTATTTGTAGAGGGAGAAGTTATCCAGATAATTTGACAAAAAAAAGGGAAAGAGGGAGGACAATTTTTATCTGATGTCCAAAAACTATTCAGTTTGGGAGGCAGGGAGCTGACTTCCACAAATGTAGAATGTATTCTATAGCTTTTCAAAATCCCTAAATCATACATGTGATGACACTCCAAGAGAGGGCCCTGGGAGCAAACTACCATTCAGAGATTAGGAAGAGGAGGAGGACAGCAGGAAAAAAAAAAAAGTGAACAAACAGCAGGCAGGGAGGGAGGGCCTGGAGAGTGTGGTGTCCCAGAAGCCAGGTGAAGAAAGTATTTGAGGAAAGAGCGAGTGAGCTTGTCAAGTTCCCACAACTGGTGATATAAGCCCTTGAGTCCACATCTTGTCATTGTTACTGCCTGTCCAAATGGTCACACAATGAAGCTAAATGACTGCTTAGGCAAGGAATCCCTTTATCCTGCTGAACTGCACAAAAGCCCCTGAGCAAATTTCTTGGTGGCTCTGTAACATCATTCTAGACGTGCTATAGTTGCAGATGGTGTAGGCGCAAGCTGTATACCTTGGGGGCAGAAGTAGAAAAGGAGTAGGGGAGGCTGTGGGAGTGATGTGAAGACCATACCAATTTTCTGCCTCCTAGGAGTTAGAGACTTGGATCCTCTTTAGGCGCAGAAACTGTTCCTTCAAGAGAACTCCTGGAATAGGTGCCCTTAGTTCAGAAATATAAAGCAAATACCTTTTCACTCTGGGAGAAAACTGAAAGGATCTGAATGCAAGTATTTTGGCTCAGAAGCTCAGTATTTTTTCGTAATACACATTATTGTGTGCTTAACTACTCTGACATCTCTTTTTCTTCTGGCAGAAACTGGCTAGATGTATAGATGAAAGCACTAGTCCTTCTTCCTAGCATGGAGAAGACTTCCTAACGTGGAGAAGACTTCCTAGCATGGAAGAGACCCTTAGGTTTTGGCCTAAGGGATGATGAGCAAGGAGCTGAAGGGCACCTCCTTGTAGGTCTGGTCATGATCATCTCTGCTCTTTCTCCTTATACTTGGTAAGAGTAAAGACCACATGTTGAAGTCAGCAGAGCTACAAGACAGAAGGAGCCAAGGTCCTGGAGTCATTGGCTGGCTCAGTGCCAGGGGGAGTATAACCCAAGTGATGATATAACATAAGCAAAACATAAACTTTTGTGGTGTTAAATCCCTGAGATACTGGGTTTCTTATTACATTTCCTAGTGTTAATTTCCTGACTGTTACACCTCTCCATGGATTTAAACTGCACACTATACTACAAACTGTTCTTTGTACTTTTTAAAACCAGGCTTATTGTGATTATGATTGACTTACAATTAACTGCACAGATTTAAAGAATACTATTTGATACGTTTTGACATATTTGTATACCCATGAACTATGGCCACAGTCAATATAGCAAACATCTCTATCTCCCTTTGGAGTCTCCTCATTCCTCTTTGAAATCCCTCCCCTCCTATTTCTCCTTGCCCTC